CTCCAACGGTTGGGCCTGGAGAAATTGGGCCTTCGTGGTCCAGATTGTTCTCACTTCCACTCTCCTCATGCTTCTTATGCTTTACCACGCCGCTGCTGACACCGTGCTTTATATGTACTGCAAGGCCGTTCACGGTGAGCTTGCTCTGGAGATTGCTGAGGAGTTTGCATGGCAGTATGTCAGTTTGCCCTTCGATGATGCCAAAGTCCCTCACGTTGTTTCCGTTGTTAATGTGCGACTGTGACTTTACTTTGTGTCACAGCCCAACCAGGTTAGTTAGTTCACCCTTTTGTAACATACCACGACTGTAATGTAATCAATTACCAACCCCTCTTTGGAAAGCTTTTAGAAGGTCATGTCATGGGCGGATAAAACAATGGTTAATTAAATAATTGTTATTGTTAAATCGCAAAAAGAAAAAATGTGGAACTTGTGGATATCAGGTGTATATTGTGGTTGTTAAATAATTGTTATTGTTAATTAAATTATTGTTATTTATTTATTTATTTATTTGCGATGAAATTAGTGACGGTTGTCATCGGACTATGAAATCTGCTTTATAGTTTGGATGATTGCTTTGTTTTATGATGGATGGCTTTGTTTTGAAAAGTGAGGATTTAAAGCGTGAATCTTTAACCCCGAATACGAGGAAAATTAGCAAATGATTCTGCTGAGTTATCGAATCGTGCTTACCACATTAAGCTTTGGACACCTTGTATCAAAATCAGGGAAAGGTGTCATTGGAATCATCTTGAAAAACAAAAAGAACACGGGGTTGATCAGAATGCCTAATGTAACTGAAGCTTTAGAACTAGAAGCGTGGAATTGTTGTCGCCTGGGCCAAATTATGCGTAAAATCTTAGTATTTCAGTGGCTGCTGCTGAAAATTATAGTGATGGTATTTGTTGACAGACTAATATATATTCATTCTTTTCGAAAGAGGCTTCTCTAAATTAAGCTTGCTTAAAGAACGCAAGTATAGATATATTCTCTCTTCACTAGATTTAAAATAGGCACGACCCTAATTCGGAATATACTTTTACTTGTGCAATTTATAGATTGCTCAATTTAGAAGGTTTTTTTTACTTTCTTTTCCCACTTGTTTTCATGTTTTGAAGAAATGGGTGCTGGATTGGTTCTGTAAACTCTCTTATTAGTCTCTGTAGAACCGGGGACATGCTATTTAATTTTTGTTGCCCGGATAAATTAAATAAGATTTAATGTTAATTATTTCTCATGACCTTTTGTTGGGTGTTTAAGACATTGGCCAGGCATTATTATATCATTACCATATGAAGTTTAATCTCGTTCATGTGCTGTGTTCTATACTGATAGCTGGACGAATGGATAGCCTAATATGAACTTTTTGGTGGCACTTTTTTCATAAGCATAAATTGCAGCACAGAATAATTTGTGTTTTCGAATCGACATGTCTTGGTTTCAGAATGCATTTGTAGATCTTTAATTCAATAGTGAATCAAATTACAAAATAATCCCGTAGGGCCACTGCATGATCTGAGAAAGTGATCTTGGAAAACAGAGAACAAGGTACCAATCCTGGGATAGAATTGTTGCTTGCAGAAGTTAAGGTTATGAAATTGATTAATCTTGGCGACAAATTCATTTGATTTTGCGTTGGCACTTGGTAAGTACAAAATTTTTGTGGATAGACGTTAACCCATTACTCAAGAATAGGTTTAATCTCTCAAACTCAATTACTTGAAAACCAAGTATGCAGAGTCATGAATCCTTTATATAAATTATATTTAAGAGGCAAGTGCTAACAAGTATTACTTATGTATTAAGTTATCTATTCCTGTTAATTATATGCCTATGAAGCAAAGATATCACGGTCTTTAGGAATAACACGAGCCGGCCTTTTTTGTTTGGTTTACCCTCTACAGTTGCATTTATCTGTTAGACTTCAAAGCAACTGACTCTGATACATGGCGCAAAGCGGGATAGTTAGGGAAAATGTTTGTACAACTAAAATGGGATACTTTTGAGTTCCTTTTAATATTTGGGATGAATATTTTTAAATATGGAGTACCCAAGAAATAAAAATAATAACACAGTTTTAATAGATTGTGATGTGCCATATCATGTCAAGCATTAATATTTAATGTTTTATATAATGAAAATGAATAACTTACACTGTTTAAGTATAAAAAATTTCCTCTCTATAAGAAAACAATGATTAGCAATCCGGCTTCTGATGTCGTCGCCATCAATTTCATAACTTGTGTTGGCTTATCGGCAATGTTTCTGTAATTTTAGTATTCCTTTTGGGGGGTTTTGTAAGGTATATTTAACTGAACTATACAAATTAATAAAAATAATTAAAGTCAGTTGATTGGTAATTTTTAAAAATTATTATAATGTGGGAATTTTATTGTTCTTTAATATTATTGAATCTAATTTTACTATTAATACTTATTCTTGTGAGTTTTAATTTTGATTTTAACCGATTTTATTTGTGAAAGGAAATAGAAAACTTATTAAATATTTCATTAAAAAGTATAAAATGTCTTAATACTATTAAAACTTTATAGAAAGTCTTTTCTAGATAGAATATTACAAGTATAGCTATTTATATTGAGTTGTGTTAATTTCTTTTTGGTATTTGCTTTGTTACCTACATATTTGAGAATTGGGATTCTCTCTTTTTTCTTTTTTCTTTTTTTGAACGAACTATACTATGCAATTAGTGTATTTTTTGCATGTTTACTTAAGCAAACTTTTTTTGTATAAATACACTAATTGCAGAGTGAGCACAGTTACTGCAGAGGATCTCAGTCTCATATTTGAGAGGTATCAAATATCCCTCCTACATAAACGAATATAATTGGTTTAATTAACTTCAATTTTTTTTTTTATTGTAAGAAAGTCCTTTAATATTTTCCTTAATACACAAAGGTCCTGATGGCCATTGTTCTATTTCTTTCTTTTTGCTCAAACTTTTGAATTAGTTTTTTTTTCTTCAATTATTATTGATTTTTTAGTTAAATTCTCTAACGATGTTTATTTGATTTTTAAATATTGAAATATAACTTAAGTTCATACAGAGTTCAAATTGAATGCAAAAAAATTAAATTCTCACAAGAGAAATCAATTAACATTATAAGTTACACAAACTCTTATACATTCAATAACTTCATATAAAATGTGAATTGTATTCATCTAATTGCTTAATTATGATTATATATCATTTTAATTGTTGATGTCAAATTTTGTTAAAATAAACAACTATAAAATTATAACAAGTAACTATATTAAAAACAAAAAGGTAAAAAATAATAATCTAATTTAATCCAAACTACTTTTTATCCGGTTTAGATTGGATTGAGTTTGATATTATATTCAAATAAATCTAAACCAAATTGCATTGTATTTCACATTGTATAACACTTATACCTAAAAACTTATATATGTCAACCTTAACAAGAATAGGAAACTTCAAATTTTCACCTTATTCTTGCATTCAGAAATTTGGAATAGTCTGCCAAGCATATTTTCAAACTAAAAGGAAGTATTGCAACAGTAATCTTGATTATTATGGTTGGTGTAAGAATATAACCAACCACCAAAGACGCAAGAACAATATTCAAACATAGAAATATCTTTCCACCAATGTGAATCAGAAGAAGTATTATCCCTGCGTCTCGAAGTGAAAAATTTTACTTCCTAATGCATACCCTTTTCACATTTCCAGCAAACTTTTATTGCACCGCCGGAATTTTCAGATTATTTTAATTACAATCAGATACATCTCAGCCAGTTTTATCCAATAGGAAACAAACCAGACGTATACTTACCTCATGCAAAATTAGAATAATTTGGGAAATCTACAATAATTCAGATTGGAGCTACTTCCCTCATGGTTTGGGAGCATCAGGTCTTTTGAATGATATGTTTAGTGCACTGTTTGGTTGGATTTGAGATATGCAGGCCATCCATAACAATATGCATTTTGGAAAGAGCAAGGATTAAACAGATATTTTGATGTTTTTAAACAATAATTGCAAGTATAAAAACCTTCTAAACTGTCTATAGCTGGTATTTTTGGGTGATCAACTGCTGGGACCCCTTAGCAAGATCAGAAATGTAAAAAATAAAAATGCAAATGATTACCAGACTTCCAAGAGGCCTGGACTCTCGCAACAATTTAGATTTCCTCTCAACCTCTTTTATTATCTATAAAAATATAAAAAAAAATTTGAAATTTGTCATTTTGACTAAAAATTGTCAATAATATTTTATGATAATTTTTTATTTTTGAAATTTTATAACTTTTGTTGTTCCATTTCTTATCAAAAATTGCTATTGATGAATTTTTAACCTTATTTTTTGTAACTTTTTCAAAAATATCGTATTTTGATATATTATTTTAAATACTATATATAAAAAAATAATTCCTTAGTCTTTTGTTTAGTTTAAATTAGTTTTCTTTATTTCACTGTACACATTGATAAAAAAATTTATTTATAATAATAAATAATTTAAATTAACTAATCTTTTTTTAATAAAAAATTACTATCTTTAAATTAATTTTAAGAATTGAAATTAATAAAATTGTGAAATAGATGTGCATTAAACATAATTTTTTTAAAATTATATTTAAAATATCTAAATAATTATTTCTTATATTACATAAAAAATGTAAACAAAAAATATAAATAATAATATATATTGTATTTTTTTTATGATGATTACATCTTATATTTTAAATATGATTTACAAAGACACTTTAAAAATTACTTTTTTTTAATCAACGTATCCAAACATTACCATCATTAAACTATAATAAAAAGATTGTTCAAAATTAAATTTGTATTCGCCTGCTCACGCGCTAAATAGTAAAAGAATCGTATTAATGAGCTGTTAAATTAGCAAACTATTGTCGACTGAGCCAATTCAGACATCATTTTAATAGAAAACATAGGATGCAAAAATAACTAGATCCAACATGTACCAAAGTAACAACGCAATACTTAAGAAGCTAAACCTGATCAAATAATATTAACACAAGACTTTGTACATTGGTTCATACATCATGTCCATGCTGGGACCTCCATCCAAAACTTGTGAACATCATCTTAAAATCACAAGTTGATGATGGCTAGGGGATGTTTAAATACATCTGGCTCTCAAATCAAAGAATCAACAATTGCCATCAAAATAGTCAGAAAAGATAGTTGTCTAATTGACAACCAAATTGGTCATAACTTTCTACTATAACCCACACTGGATGAGGGTTGAGGCTTATTGAAAGCCCTCTCATCCTGATCAACACTGAAAAGGAGATTAGTCCAATTGGTAGATCTCTGAACCATCCTACTAGGAACCTGGTCACTATCTTCCCCACCAGAAGCCTCATATCCATCACTGGTTGACCTTGAGAGTGGAAGTTCCTTCAGAGTTACACCACCAGCAGCTGAAATACCTGCAAGCTGTCTAACTTCTTCGGCTCTTGATGAAGACACCCGAAAAGGGTGAATATCAGGAGAGTCTAAACTGCTTTCAGGAGATGAAGGAACAATCCCAGCCGAGCTTGACATTGCTCGACTTGTTTGAAATGCACTACGTGCTTCAAACTGAAGAGGGGCCAACCTAGACATTGTACTTGAACCTTGATCAGTATTATTGGCAGAAACTTTTGTCAGGGACTCCATAGATAAGTCAGCAGGAAGGTAGAGCCGCTTGCTCGCTCGCTTTTTATTGTTGTTATCAATCCTGGGGACCATTCTTCGACCACTGCTACCAAAACTGCTATCTGGTTCTAGCCTGATAGCTTCGTCATGTCTTATTACAGGCTGCAGAATTTTGGATTTTTTTCTTGCTTCTGCAGCAGCCTTAGAAACCTCTTCTGCGTTTAACCGTGCCAATGTCCAAGGACTAATTTTCACTGTTCCAGGATTCTTTTTCTTGGATGGCTCTTCTCTCATTATCTTCTTTCCTAATGAACTTACAGAACCTGTTTCTGGAGGCACCACATCAAACTAAACCCAAAAACACCCCCAGCCCCAAGAAAAAGGAAGGAAAAAATGAGACAGGTAGCCCTCAATAAGCAAACCAAAGGAAGAAGGAAGTAAATTATGGATCAATCTCCCTTGTATGCTCACTCCCTATGGCAAAAGCCAATTTGTTTCTGACCTAATCGCTTATGGTTACAATATAGTAGTTAAACAATCTACGAACAACTAAAATGACATAGCAGAATAGCATTCATTTAAAAAAGAAGAAGGTCAAATGATCAAACTTAATTATTCATAAATTTAATTTCCCAGGAATGAAAGACTACCCCTTGCGCTGTGCATGATAGGGCCCACCATAAAAAATCTTCCTGGAAAGCAATCATAAGTTCTGAATTTAACACACGATACTATTCTTGATGTGTTTATTCCATGAATAGTACATAACATTTCAATCTGAATCACAAACAACTCAATAGAACTTTTGTTTTTGCTATTTTTTTTAAGTCATTGCAATCTCTGTTTTCCTCCGCAACAATATTCAATAAACTGAAATATTCGCTTTCAAATACAACTATACAGGACATTCAAATCAAAACCATTTATATGCAGTGCTTTTGCATGCAGGAAAAGCATACCTAAAGGCATTTTGAGCAGGAAAAAATCCAAACACAAATAAAGAAACAAAGAGCATTAAAGCAAGTTAATTGAAAATGTTACCTGATCTTCAAGGAGGAGGCGTGGGGGTGTGCACCATGCACCACGGTGTAAAGTATTAAAGGAGCTTGTACTACTCAATCCAGTAAGTGAGCTAACAGTTGACATTTGGGGACTCTGCTGACCTCCAATTCCTAGCTGCTCCTGCTCCTGCTCCCTCATAGCTATGATGTAATCATATGTGCTGAGTCCCTATGTCGTACAATAACAACCATAATAATTAACACTTTCGATAAATATATGGGTCGTGCTAACCAGCACCCTGGGGCAATAGTTAAGAAATCAAAAAAAGATAATTTTTTATTGAAAATCATAATAAATTCATTAGAAATCACAGAAATAAGTGCATTGCTACATTTTACTTTTGATTCCGTTTAAGGCACTGGTTACTATTTTCCCCTCTCTCTCTCTCTCTCTCTCTCTCTGTCTCTGTGGGATAGTATCAAATTAGGTGTCAAACTTAATAAAATGACACCTTTAATAATTTTTATTAAAATTAATTTTATTAATTCAATCATTGAATTTATAGTTCTCATAAAATAGATCAAGTCTACAAAATTTTACACAATTCAAAAATTGATACTTCATCACTTCACTTTAATTAACTATAATTAAATTACATATTTACGAATGTCTAAATTGTGTAAAATTTTACACACATGATCATCATGATAATACTACAAGGATAAACAATTTGATTGATAAAATTCACTTTTCTAAAAAAAAAATTTGATGTGTCATTTGACCAAGAGTTAAGAGATAAATTTGCATTTTCCCCAAGGAGAACTATAATCCCTATTAAAATCTAAAAGGTGAGAGAGACTAGTAGATCTTGTCCATACAAGGCCTGTAGACTGATGGTCCAAATGGGTACAAGCTTGAAAGGTGTTGTGGCTCTAAAAGACACATCCCAAGACAAAAATTACAAAGCAAAAACTTGTAGAGCTTGGTGAAACTTCATTTCAACACCAACAAAGACACTAAACCATTAACTACTAACACATCACACGTCAAATGTGTGTGTATGAGGCAAAGATTCATATTATTGAATTTAATATAAAAAAATGATGTGTCAATTGTTAATTGATTTAGTTAAAACAAGTTCCGTAAACATGTACACAAGAACTTCTCCTAAAGGGTACACAAACATCACAATATCTCCAACTACCCATCTTGCATATTTCTTTTGCTTTCCTTTCTACTTTTGCTATATAAAGAGTGGAAAGAAAAAGAAATACTTGAAAAGGAGCTTCCCCATATAGTAATAATATTATTACAATGTGCTTTAAAACGAAAAGGAAGCATTAACCAGATAGTCAATCAATCTTACCTTTCTAATCAGGAGGATATGAAAGAAGAAAAGCTGAGCAACGGGTAAGGTAGCAATCATGGCCAGAATGGTGCAGACAGACTGAAAATTAAAAATATGCATGAAAAATAAGAATAGCTGTAGTTGGCAATGATTTTCATCAAATAAAAAGAGAAAGAACAAATTCATTTTTGTCCGATGAATAAATAAATAACCATTATTATAGCAGTATAGTAACCATATAACACACACAAGAATAAGAATAGGAAAAAGAGCAGAATGCTCACCACCACAAGAACAAAGGGAACCACAGAGAAACTGGTTCCCAACTTGGAGGAGATATCCATAGAAAATTGCTTCCTCTTGACAAAGCAGCAGATAAGCACAAGTATCCCAGTCAACGATTGAAGAATAAACTGCAATCTCAAGCCCAAGGTGCACAAATCATGTATAGACCTGTCAATAATTAGTCAAAATGAAAATAACTAGGAAATAAAATTCTTGCATGTGGTGCTCTAGAGATTATGTATGGCATGTTGCGACAATTACCGAGACAGGCTTGGGATGGTTCAAAGAAAAAATGTAGAGAGTTTGACACTTTACAGAAAGACCAAAGCAGCATCAGAAAAGATTAAAGATATTTTGGGGAATGATTTCCAAATGCTGGTGATTTGGAGAAGAATCACATTTGAATGGTTGGGTTCAATTCTTATATAACTGAAGAACTGGCTATAATTAGGGTAGCCTTAACTATGGGAATGATAGCAAGGCATAGGTGGACAATCTTGCTTACCAAGAGCATAGCAGCAACAATGAGGGTGAAAAATTGTCGATAGTTCCTTTTCCCAATACAGTTGTTAAGCCACTGCATAACCCAGGAAGCAACAATCCTTCAGAACATACATCAAGTGATAAGTAAAGAAATGAGAAATAAGAGATCATACCCGGCAATGATGATCAAAGTGATTTACACATTTGTCGCAAACTCTACAGTGCTTGCTGTACTTAAAAACCTACAACAAAATTATTCTTCAGAAATATAAACTTATTTTACCATTTAAGCATTGCAGAGTAAGCATGAATATGAAACAGATGGTAATTGTGAAGTTCTGCATTCACTGTTGTCAAGGCAAATTATGTTTCACCTCCACATCACATTAAGGAATGGACTCCAACAGAAATTATAGAGGAAGTGAGGAACAATATGTTTCTAGTGCAAAAGCTTCTACGCACCTCAACTTCACACAAACTGCAATAGAACATGCCATCTTCACTTATTTGTTTATCAGAAGTTTCTTCACTCGAACTAGAGCAGCTGCAGATATAAGCACAAGGAGAACAAACCAAGAGGAAACAGGATGAACAAGATGATGATGAGCTTTTCCCTTCTAAATCAGAAGCACTTTTCTTCATTCCTTCAGTTCCCAATGCCTCCTTATCCACAGAATTAGCTCCAACTGTTGAAGCATTTGCTTCATGCATTGACGAAGTTGAATCTTCACCTAATTTAGAATTCTTTAGTCCAACAAGCTTTTTACCATCTGAGATTTTAAGATACTTTTTGGACTTAAAAACCCCTGGATCTGCTGGATCTGCTGCAGCACACCAAATGTACAGTCCAAAGACACTAGTAATCTGGCAAGAGATGAGATATCACTAAATGAAGATAGCATCCTTCGTGGGACAATAACAGCTATAGCTCTAGGAGTATATTGAGGGTAGCCAAAATAGCTAAGGGGAAAAATATCAAAAGAAATAAAGTGCATATCAGCATAAGTCAGATATCTGTAAAACTTAATAATATAGTGATCCAAAGAATTGTGGGTACATAAAACTATTCCTACCCAAACATTTAATATCCCATTTCTCACAAAATTGCCCCAGCTAAGGATTGTAGCAGACCCAAGAACTTGTTTTCTTCTAACAAAATAAGGTACATTTTGGGTTCAAAGGGTCCAAAAGCCAGTACGACCAAATAAATGACTATCAAACACCAATCTAAGCATATTGCTCTTCCAAACATCCTGGATATCTACATTAATCTTGTCAAAAAATGGTGGATAGGTTTCCTATATATCATCTCACAAAAACTTTAAACTGGCTGAACAATATACCCATTACCCAAGAATTCCAACCAAATGCCCGATACAGATTACTTAATTTGATTGTGAATAATTTTTTTGTACCTTCTGGCTGTAGCATTATGCAGACAAAAATCATTATACTGAGAAGGTAACATGTTTTTCACTAAAAGTGTAAAGAAACACCACCTATGTATTGCTTTCTTCAGCCCATATGAACCACATAACTAAGTCACTACCTTGAAAACAAATCCCAAATGCACCTGAACAAAATCTACACACTTTTCAAGCAAATATTTTCAACGGTTAATGCTAAGTTTCAAAAGCAGTTGTAATAAAAATATTGATAATTTCAACTTCACCCCTTCTGCTTGGATTAAATAAGAGACACTCCCATCATCCCAGCTTTCAGTATCATATAGCTCATATGTTGCATTAAATAGTGACATTAAAATCTTTCTTTATTAAGAGATAATTTAAAGTATTGACCAGTGTACAGAGATTTCCCTAGTTCCACTAAGGTGTCTCAGTTTCACACAGGGTTTAGTTTACTCCACATAAATCAAGATTCATTCAAAGACAATTTGTGTGTGTGTGTGTGAGAGAGAGAGAGAGAGAGAGAAGGATGATTAAGAGCTACCTTAGATTTCAAATATTTAAACTAGCTTGAATTTGAGATTGAGATATTGTAGAAACACCAATATAGTTCTAATCTAAGAAAAAAGGAAATAAAAAACATAGTAATCAATAACTAATAAACAGAATAATTTGGGGAAAAAAATATCCATGAGATTCTAGTTCACACATGTCTCGAGATGTCTATTTGTGAACAAAAATGTAATCTTTAAAATAGATGTAAGAATTGGGCGAGGGAAATAGACATATGAGGACAAGCAACCAAATGGCCCTTATCAGTTACATACATACATAGCTTCATAGCACCTTTCATTGAACTACACAACAATCTAAAAGGAATGGTATATAACTAAAAGGAACCTGAGCTGAAGACAAAGTATAAATACGTGAATCAGAAAGCAAAAAAATCACAGATCTCACCCCTTCCACCGACCAACTAAGAAAGCAGAAAATGAGTATATTAAAAAATTAAAAAAAGCATAGAAATTCGAAGATGGGTTTACCAGTGGTGTATAAAGACCAATAACAATATACTGATACATCTTCTTTCCAACAAAAGGAGCGAAGAACACATAGAAGGCAAACCCCAGAGCCAAAAACACAGCAACAGCCACCACCTTGCAAAGATTTCTCAAAATGAATAAATAAACCCCACAAAACAAGAAGAAGAACTAGTCCAAAAAAAATCAAACTTTATCATACCCACCTGAAGAGGATGGTAAGGTAGCTGCCATCCATGCTTCCTCATAATTTTGAGTTCCAAGTTGAATTCAAAACGTTTTAAGGAGTTGTGTACACGCAGTACAAAAAAACACACTTGCAGATAACAGATAAAGCAAAAGCGAGGAACAAAACAGGGGACTGCTACTTTTGTTTTTTTCCCAACATTTTCACCTCATGTTATTTATTTTTTTTCAACAGAAGGAATGAAAAAATTCAGAGATTTTTAATCAAGAAAAGGAGGGACTTCGCCATGACATGTTGGCTGAAGATGATAGAAAGAGATGTAAGAGAGAAAGAGAGAATGAGATTAGGATAGTGGTGGTGGGGCTGAAGTGTGGAGCGAGGAAAGCTTTGTCTGGCTCAGAGAATGCCAATGTAAGAGAAGATGTAAAGGTTTGGTCTCTTTTTTTGGGTGGTTGCAAAGCTTTTTACTTGCTCAGACAGAGAGAGATCTGAGACAATGGTTTTCTCTTTCCATGCTCATAATTACCTTACAACACACACTTTTTACTTTTTGTATTATCTCTCTCTCTCTCTCTCTCTCTATGAATCTGCTGGTACCTGCCACTGGGGCTAGCAGCGTTACCTTTTTCTCCTGGCAAATTATGTGTCATAGGCCACTGTAACCGATCGTTGTTTGCTTCTGCTTTTGTAACAGCCTTGCATTGAAGCCACTCTCTCTCCTCTCTTTAATCTTTAATCTGCATTTAGTAAAGAATCTCCTTGCATTTGCAATTTGTATTTCGAAGGACGCCCAGATTCAGCGGGAAATTACCAATCCATTCAGGTTTAATTATCACATATTCAAAGTGATAACTTCAGTTTTTGGCAGACATATTAAAAATAATATTTTTTAATTAAAAATTATTTATTATATTGAATATATGTTTAATGATTCTTTTGAATTAAAAACAATTAATGCATTGACTTTTAAAAAATTAATTAAACGTTAATTATAATATTGTTAAATTACATTAATTTAGTTATTAACGTTCTAGTGAATTAAGTCTATAAAATTTAAAAGTTATTCATTATTTTATCAAATAATTTTATTTTTATGTAAAATATATTTTTAAATTATAAAAAATATCAATTTTAAGGTTAAATATTCACAAATATTTAATTCATCTAAAAACGTACATCATTATGAAGTGTCAATTTAATTTAAAAATTAAGTAAAATTAATTTTGAATCATTAAATATAATTTAATTAAGATATGAGTTTAATAAGTATAAAAATATCTATATTATTAATGTATTTATCTTAAATTCTTAATATATATATATATATCAAATTAATTTAACTTACATGCTTTTATTGAAATATGTATTTTTATTGAAAAATAAAATGTATTTTCCAATTATAAAATAATTAAATTAATGATAATATTACATAATTAAATAATTAAATTAATATTTATAAAAATATATTAAATTGAATAAGTTATTAAAGTCTTAAAAAAAACATGTCCTGTTGATGTATTATTTGTAAAGATACAGAAGTTTAATGAAATAAAGACACCACCAAGAAGCGTTACCTGTCAAATATTTGAGATGCATCCGAGGATCACAGATCCGAGTTAAGACCATATAGTTATTTATAAGTTAACAATGTATTTATACATCCAATTTACATGTATTTTATTTAAATATATATAATAAAATTATTTCAAATATTAATTTTAAAATTATTTTAATTCAATTTTATAAACATAAATAATATATTAAACTAATATTTTAATAAATTATAATAATTTTTAAAAATATAGAAATAATATATTAAATATTATAAATTTAATATAAAAATAATATTTATAAAAAATTAAAAATTTATATACAATAATAAAATAAATTTAATAAATATAAACACAAATATTCACAAAAAAATTAAAAATTAATAGAAAAAATTTAACTGACAATTTTTATCTTCAAAATTTAACATAAAATTAATAAAATATTAAACCCCACTCTAATTCCCCTGCACCCAAAATTTTATATTATATTTTATTTTAAAATTTTATTTATATATTTATTTGCATAAATCAATAAAATGTCATACCTATATTATATTTTTATCAGTTATTGAATAAAAATTTTAAGTGAGAAATTTAATTTAAATATTTAAAAAAATAAACGTAAATAATTAAAATTATAAAGATTAAAATTATATAGGTATTAAACTATAGAGCTTAAAAGTGTAATTAAGCTTTATTTGTTTAAAAATTATAAAAATTAATATTCTTTTACCAAACAAATGTTATTAAATTTTTTAAATTTATATAAAAATATATATCATTACTGAATACAAAGATAAAATTCAAATTAACTTTGCAAAAGCTCATACAAATAAAAAATAAAAAATAATTGATTAAATAATTTTATTTTATTATCTAATATGGATTTTTAAAATATAAATAAATATTAATGATAAAACTATATATTTATAAATATTCAATTTATTTTAAACTTAATATCTAATTCAATGTTCATAAAGGATTGCTAATATATTTTTATTAAAATAAAGCAGCACAATAAAGTATTTATTAATTTCACTGAAATTGACCAATTTAATAACAATCTTTAAACCATGGGTTATTACAATGCAATTGTAATTTAAAATCTTACATCTTACCATAAATATTACACATTATTATTAAAATGTAAGATATTATATATATATATATATATATATATTTTATTAAAATAAAATTATTTATATTATCATTTAATTATGTATTACTTAAATTTATACTGTTAAATTTTATGTATTATTACAAAGAAATTTTTTATTTAATATTAGATATTAATAAATTATTTGCAAATAAGATAAGAATTTTTTATCTGAATTAAGTACATTTTGAATCAAAGTTTAATTTACATGTTAACAAGAGTTTTGTTTATATTCCTTTTTAAAAACAGAAAACTGTTTTTAAAAACAAAAACAAACATGCTCTAAATAGTTTCTATTTTTTTTTCTATTTCTCTTTCAATTATTAAAATTATTACAGCAAATTTTATTTTAAAATTATTAATGTTTTTAAAATTGTAATGATTAAATTTTTGACCAATTCTCATAGCAAATGGATAAAATCCATTCTCGCCTACGAGATATAGCAATATACTAAATGTGTTTGATTTTGTTTGTAGTAAGATTTAGCGTTGATGGTAATTAAACTTGAAATTGACCAAAATGTAATGTAATGTAATTAAAAAATTCAAACAATTACATGTGTAACTGTATTTAGAGCATTTAAAAAATTCGAACAATTACATTTGTACTTTTCAAGGTTTAATTGAATTATTAGGAAAAAAAAAAGGTTTAATTGAATTTTATTTAATATATTTCTTTCGTTTTATATTATTTTGACCTATTAATTCATCTCATATAAAAAAAATTAGAAAAATAGTATTATTGAGAAGGTATACAATATAATATTATATGAATTTAAAATTTGTGTAAAGTTAAATAAAAGTTTATATAAGTTTTTAGTTACTAGAAATAATTATGTTTGAGTCGGTATAATCACTGGACACTAAATTTTTCCTCCAAAATTACAAATTAAATTACAACAACTTCCTACAAATAATTTTAAAAACATAATTTACATTTACATTAAAATATTTCATATTTATAGTAATATAATTCAATGAATAATTAAGAATAATGAAAATAACTTAATTCAGTGTTAACATTTGTTTAACATTTTTATTTTTATTTTTTTGACATCATTCATCGTATTTATCATTTCTCTCATATTATTTTTTTCCTCTTTGTGCGTATAGACACCCACAATTTTCGAAACCAAAAACATTCTCATCTTATTTTATTTCACGTTCTATTTCTCTATAACAAGGACTTTGATGTTCAACATTCATTTTAAAAGAAAAGAATCCTTATTAGGCGTGGGGTGGTTGAAGCTATTACCAAAAGAAAATAGTATAATAATTAGCTAACACTACGTTCAAGTTTCCACACCCAACCTCATATAGGTTGAATGTACATATGCTCACTGTTTTACTTCTTTCGACCTCTATTTCTCCCTAGTTTCCTCTCTATAATATATTTATTCACATGCTCACTTTGCATCGATCATTCAACTTGTAATAGAAATGTAGAACCAATCACAGCCGAAATCATTGATTCGTTGAGATGCCAACTTTTCTCTTTGAAAATGTCATCAAATTCGTTCAACTTCTCTAATGGTGTCATAAAATTATTGATATTTGTTTAGCACGAATATATAAATAAATTTCCCCAACCAATAGTTTGTGTTGATTCTTAACATATTTAATTAAGGGTTTGTTTGTTTACGTTAACGCGAACTCCAATACACCTATACAGAAGCAACAATTTATTACTATGAAATAAAATTTTGAGACAAACCCACCCCGCTTCTGAACTTCGAAAATCTCCTACAGAATGCATGTTTCAAACAAACACGTGGATTAACTACAAAAGAATGTAGGCAGTAGGCCAATAATATGTGTGATCCCCTCGCTGTGATCCTTGTGATAAACATGCTTAGAGTGTTGAGTGTATAGGCACTCATGGTTTAAAGGGTCTCGGCCATATGTCTAACCCATTTGGAATATTGGGATGTTAGTAACTAGGACGCGTATTTTAAGATTTTATTTGGAATTTAGTTTTTGAGAAAGAGAAAGACTTGTAATAATTATTTTTATTTGGGAATTTTTAGATAACGAAGAAACTCTTTAATCTCATGTTTTTAATTTCTTTAAATTTGAGAATTTTTTAGATTAATTTTTTTTTCATTTCTTTATTTCTATGCTTGCTTACCCTTTAAACTTTTTTCTTTTTTCTAATTTTCAAATAAAGTCTAATTATTTTGAGCCTTTTTAAATTACTCTCAATCAAGAACTATTAAAATTACAATAATATGAATAATATGAAGAAATAATTATGTTAAATTTTTCATTTGAGTTAAGAACATGACTACAATATTTCTTACTAAATAATGATTTTTTTTTAAGCTTGTTTTTAAGTGAGTTAGGCGTTGTTTTAATATGATATTAGAGATTATTTAATTCAAAGCTTAATTATATTTTTTATCCCTATAAATATTAGACATTTTGCGATAAATCTTTATAAAAAATTTTATTAGAATTTGATTTCTAAAATATTAAGAAGTTAACATTTAGTCTTTGTCGTCAACTCCTTTTTGTTAAGTACTGAGTTGGCAAACAAAAAGTCAACTCAACACTAACACGTGACACCACGTGACTTGCTATGTCATTTAAATTTTTATTTTTTTATTAATTAAAATTAATATTTACAAATAAGTCACTGAATACATTTTACATAAATTTTAAATAAATTCATCTTCTTTTCCTTTCCCTTTCCGTTGCCCCACACCTCCATTCCTACGCCCACCTTCTCCCCACATTTCCATTCTCATCACCCTTTCCCTTAAACAACAATCTCTCCTCCTCCTCACCCCTCTTCTAAACCACAACCTTTCCCCTAAACCACAACCCCTCTCCCCCTAAATCATTATCCTACCTTACTATCTCAGCCCCACGACATCACTCCACCCAACTCCAATTCCAATTCTGACAATCACACAATATTTATTATCAATATATTATACTTTTATATTCATTGAGATTGTGTTGGGTTCAGTGGAATATCTACATTATACAAGCTTAAGATTTTACGCATATATGATATTACCTACTCAAAAAGAAAAT